GATACTCACAGGAGTACTATGAAATCATATTTGTCAGGTTTTGAACAACGGTGGTTTTGAAAGCACGGTTACAACTCCGACGTAGTTAGCACCCAAGAAAGGTGGAAGTTAATACAACACATTTTAGACTAAGGTTTTGGTCTATACCATATCGTAACTTTACAACGTTTGACAAGTCTAAAAGTAAAAGGATAGAGAAAATATAAAATATTGTAACCGTTATTCATTGCTTGTTCTGCTTTGCTATGACCCGGCAGTCTACATCGCCATACTTAACTAAGGTTTAGTCAAAGTCACCCTTATACTTTTTCTGAACATTGTAAAGCCTGAGTCAAATTGTAGAGATTTGTCACATTTGTGCCTGAAATTGTGACATTTTTGCCTTCCCTGAAAACTCTGCTTGGGATAACGACGTCACGCTTCAGACTTTAATTAAATTCCCAGAGAAAGACTGAGATTTAAAACAAACGTGATAATGAGACTTCGTACATTACATTTATGTGGAAATCTCGGTGGGTTTTGTTAGCCCTTTTTAACACGCGGTTACGCTGTTAGGTCGGTGGCTAAAGCTAGTTTAATGTTTCCCACGGTCACAAGCTTGACACGATGTTGGTGGCTGTAATTATACCTGTCCATTGTCCATGATCTAATTTTGACAGGTTTCATATTAATGGTTGTATCCTCTATTGTTGGGCAGGGTATTTTTCCATCGTTCACAGGACCTTGTCTGCCCTCTCCCATTGTGCGAGGCGCATGTTCTAACCACAATAATTGATACATGTCAACTCCGATTAAACACAGACCTCCCGGGCGTTGGATCTCCGGCCTTTAGGCGATCCGACTCCAGTCGGGTTACGGTGGTCAAATCTGGGCTGCGAAGTTCCCACATTTTCTAGAACCCGGACTGTGTTCGATCTGGGCAATTTGCAATACCTTATTACCGGCTCAAAATTACTGTAACGGTTGTTTCGAGAATCGTGTTTGGGGGGAGGGGGGTAATTCAGTGCAAAAAAAATGTCATTTTTCAGCAGCATGTCGATAAAATCTATACTTAAATAAAAAAAATGTCACTTTATCAGTTGGCGATGTATCGTATAGGATCGCTATAAAAGTACATGTACCTTTTGTACAGATAACAGGCCAGAAGAGTTCGAATGCGACGTGCGAGTTGTATGGTCCAATTTACAGCGTTCTTGTATGTTTCACAGGACCCGCAAAAACGCAGATATTCTGTCCTCAGGCAGAGTTTCCTTCATGCTCGTTTGGCGCTCAGGTGTCGTGGCGCCATTTCTGCAGACAGACAAGGACCTCTTAATTTGCATACTGACTACTATAAGAAATATGTATACAAAAGCTAGAGTTCCCCAACTTTATACATTAGACTTCAGACAGAAATTCTTGCATTTTCTCATTCATACATTATGATAATTGCAAATAATTAAAACCCTGATTTGCAAGATTTAAGACTGATGATGTTGACTTTTACCTAACTTAAAGAACTCACCTTACCTACCGCGCTATATGGTATTATGACATTTGAGGCCATTGTCAGCTTAAATGTGTATGTTAGGTAGGGCATTGACGCTCACGCCTTTATGCTGTTCGGCCTCACGACGTCATGTTGTTAACCTAGTAGTAAATGAATTCCATCTCCGACGAGAGAAAGCTGATTGTATATTTGTATGCCGACATTATCAGTTTGTCCTGTATCATCGAAAATCTCTACAAAATTTTGAAAGTGAGTTTCGTAGTGAGTTCGGATGTTATGTTTATATGGCGAGAGGTGCAGCGTACTTTGACAGATAAGGGACGAAACACAGGCATCCTGTCCTCAGGCAGATTTTTGTTCCAGCTCGTTTGGCGCCCAGGTGTCATGGGACATGCTTGGCAGGCAGCCAACATTTCCAACATTTGATAAACTCACGCAAATGTAAATATTACTAACTGGCGCAATGTGACCCAAACATTAACTTAAGTAATATTTTTTTAATCATTTCCAATGGACCTTTCCTTATTCCTTGCCATTTTGTTGAATGGATTCAACTGTTGGGCAGATACAGATTGTCGTGGATTCTGTCTGAAAATTTGTTCTAATGTCGGTGTGATTTTGGTGTTGAAAATAAACTATCAAACATTTTTAGTTTTCTAAGAATAAAACACAAAGTGATGCTTGATAATACTTAATTGGGATTTGGAGAACACCCTTAAGCGACGGTCACAACTCGCCGTACGTGCTTCTGCGTGCTGTCTATGTGCAAAAACGTGGGCAATCGTGCGGCATCCGTGCGTGGTGAGTACCACCTCCGTACGGAATCCTACGGATTTCGGAGCACGCAGACACGCCGTAGAACTTTAAGTGCATGTAATACTTTTTCTACGTGCGGTCTGCGGATTTACCACCCGTGCGTGCGAGTACGTGCGACGCGCGTGCCCCGTACAGCCTATGAGCGTGCAACGTACGGACTCCGTGAGTCTCACTTCACTATTCTCACGTGCAATTGCTGTACGGACAGCGCACGAAGCACGTGCGTGCCACGCACGGTGCTTGCGTCATCCGTGCTTACTCCTCACTTCCCAGTTGACCTGCTCAATGACCACGCAGAACACACGTGCACCATACCAGGTGCTCCGCACGTGCAACGCACGTGCAACGCACCTGATCTCTACAGTATATAAAGACAACTTGACGGGCGACTGCCAACTCGTCTCCAAGATGCCCAGGAAGGCTCAGAAGAAGACTACCAGACAAGACCCAAAGAAACGGGCCGCGGAAGACACCAGGGCGGCTAGTGATGATGAAGTTAACAGGAGGTGCACGCACTTACAACGTGCGAGTGAGTAAGGAAACCGTGCGTACGCCTCACGTGTAGGTACGGCCTGTACGCGGCAACGTAGAAATCGCACAGAGATCGTGCGTTGTAAGCACGTACAACTCACTTACCACTTGCGCAACGTACGATGCACGCAACCGCTGACGGCCAGGCGTGTCGTGCAGACCACGTACGTACACCTTGCGCAACCGTGCGAGTGACGTACTCCCTCGGCCGGCCACCCTACGTTTGCTGAAAAAACGCAGCAGACGTAGCCACGACAAAAACGTACGGACAAAAAGCACGCACGGCGAGTTGTTTTAAGCGACGGTCACAACCCGCCGTACGTGCTTCTGCGTGCTGTCTACGTGCAAAAACGTGGGCAAACGTAGGGCATCCGTGCGTGGTGAGTACCGCCTCCGTACGGAATCCTACGGATTTGGGAGCTCGCAGACACGCCGTAGAACTTTAAGTGCATGTAAAACATTTTCTATGTGCGGTCTACGGATTCACCACCCGTGCGTGCGAGTACGTGCCGAGCGGAAGAAGCACGTGTGAGTACGGCCTCCTGACGGTAAAGTAGCAATCGCACAGACACCGGTCGTTGTAAGCACGTACAACTCACTTACCACTTGCGCAACGTACGATGCACGCAACCACTCACGGCCAGACTTGGCGTGCAGACCACACTCTTACACTTTGCGCAACCGTGCGAGTGACGTGCGAGTGACGTGCGTAGACGCCACTCCTTCCCCACGTTTTCAGAAAAAACGTAGCAGACGTAGCCTCCAAAAAACGTACGGACAAAAAGCACGCACGGCGGGTTGTGACCGTCGCTTTACTGAAAACACTATTGAGGACAACCTTTCGGGATGGAAACAATTGATGTTGAGGAGTACTACATGAAATTGTAAGCTTTGTATGGAACAGTCTATTTTGGAATGAGTTGACGGACTGAAATATGTTACATTTGCTTCAGAAGAAATATATGCTTTTCTAGTTTTAAACATATTGCTTCTCACGCTAAGCCAGCGATAGAAATCGATGGATGTGGCCTTATACTTCTGACCGGCTCAATAGCGCCACCCTCCGATGCAATCCTGCAGGGCAGCAGAGGAATATGTTTGTTCTGTACAACCAAAGTGATTAAATGTTTAAAAGTAACTGATAAGATACCACACATAATTGTTGTTTGTGTTAATTCAGGTGGTGTACGCTGACACGATGTCGGGTCCGGGTACATCCGGGTTCTGGAGGTGGATGATTCTTTTGTTGATGGCGACAACTGCAACAGTCACTGGGCAAGGTAAACCATAAGTTGAAAATCCATAAATACAAATTCAAATTCAAGATTTTTTGTTCGTCACAACTGTAATTGGGAAATGGCCTACTTGTCATTTTTTCATTACTGAAAATGTGCCTGTTCAACAATGCTAGGTTTGAACCATTAACTTAGGATAACATGTGGACACAAGTATGTAGTTTGTGTCCTTTTCATACATGTATACGAAAAGGTAGCGTATATTGACTGCACCCAAAATTCATTACCGATACCTTGACGTTCTTAATTTTAAGCTATCACCCTTGTGTTTGTGTGTATTTCTAATCTTAAAGAATCTTTGCGGTGTATCGTTGCTTATCCAACAAAAGAAACAAATAAATTTTCTCTCGACTTCCTATATTGTCAACATAGGTGTTCAAGTTTTTGCATCAAATGTTACTAAGTTTTGTACCAACGATTTGTCCTATATTCACTATACGTGAAAATGTTAAATTATCCCCATATAGGCCGACGGTGTTGCTTCATTTCTAAATAACTTTATTGCTTTACTGCTTTCATTCTGTTTTCTAATGTTAACAAATCGGAAGGGATTTGGGCTTGTGCTTTATAGTGACGAGCTAAGATCATTGGCCATCGTCGACAACTAGGGACGACCAAAAAACGAAAACAAAATATCCATAAGGACTCGTTCTCAATATATTGCCAAACTTTTGTGTGTTGGTCTCGTTTGGAATACATTTCATCAATGGGACGATGACAGTGCATTTACGGATAGAAATAGATAAATCAGCGCACGAACCTACATAGTCTTTACAACTGTAATGCTGTTTTTTTTAATACAGGTAATATTATGCTAGGCCGGTTTTAGGTCATTCAAATACAGGAACACATTTTTTGTTTCCTCCTAGTCTGTCAGAGCCCGTTTGGGATGGAGTCTGGTGCCATACCTGATGACAGCATCACTGCATCTGGAGTCGGGCATCACTACGCGCTGGATCCCCACCTCGGGAGGTTAAATGGAACTACTCATTATGGAGCCTGGGGACCAGCCATGCATATCATCGGACAATGGTTGCAGGTGGGTAGACATTTTAAACGATTTGTACATTTAAAAATGACTACACCTAACTAACTTCATGGAAGGCAATTCGATTCATTACAGCTATTGAGTGAAGTACCCAAGCCTTCGCATAAACTACTACGTCAAGAGGAACTACGTTCAGCGTTAGTCTTGTTGGCAATAAGTACTCCAGGCTGCAGTAATAGTATAATATGTCAAAACAATCCTTCGTTTTAGGTGGATTTAGGTGGAATAAAGCGCGTCACGGGCATCATTACTCAGGGTGCCCACTCACCTGTTTTTAATCAACTTTCATGGGTGACGACATTCAAACTTGAGTACAGTGGAGACGAAACTTTTTGGACAACATATGCCGACAGCGATGGATCAGATATGGTAACTTGGATTCATATTTCTAAAGAATAACACTAATTCTCTCCTGTAATATTATTTGATATCTACTTGTTTCGTGGAGATTTTTTTTTAATTTGAGGCTGCAGGTAGGTCCTGTCTTGCTTTTATGTAGCTAGCTTTGTTTTTCTTTTGTTTGTGTCATCCATGCAGCACTTTGTATTGAATATTAGACAACAGCAATGCACTTTTTAATTTTTTTTTTGGTACTGCAATTTTTCTATTGTGTTCTCCTTGATTGTTATACTCAAACATAAGGTAAACAGGCCTACTTTATAGGTTTGTAATGGGTAGGATCTCTGACATGCTGGAACTTGAAATTATTATTTATTTTTTAAGTCTATCAGTAATTTACTCTGACCATAACTTCATTCTGTTGAATACTTTGCTGTCCAGTGCACTTCTTTCCTATTATTCCGACACCCTTTTCTCCCAGATATTTACAGGCAACACGGACCCAAAGACACCTGTAACGAATCTACTGGACAACCCTGTAGACACCCGTTATGTGCGCTTCTACCCTCAGCGCTGGCATGGCCGCATTGCCATGAGGGTGGAAATTCTTGGCTGCAGCACTGAGTGTTGGTATTGTTTATTTCATTGGGTAGAAGTTAGTTCACTAGCAATATTTGTAGTTCACTAGCAATATTTTAGAATTGTTAATCAATATCAAGAAGTTTTTAATAAAGACATAACAAAGGGCCCATTGCAGGTACAAGCAAAATGTACAAAAATACAATGATATAAAAGTATACGATTAACACTATCCTACATACTACAGCATACGTGGCACAAGTTTTGCTGTTAATTTTTTTTAATATGCCATTCCTGCTCAGTGCTCTGGGGTCTGACCCTCAATGATGCCGGGATGGGTCATCTAAACGTCTCCTGGACAGTCGTCGGGAATCTTCCGATCTCCAGCTACAGACTCCGCTACCAGCCGGCAGACGGGTCGGGATCGTACCAGGACCTTTCACCCGCACCAGAAGCGGGAGCCACCTCGGCAACTGTGCTAGGACTCATCGACCACACAGAATACACACTCACGCTGACTTCGTTTGACCAGAACGACCAGCCGAACGGGGTCATCAACGCGTCATACACTACAGGTAGGCGGGGGATAAGTTAAGTTGGATGGAAGAACCAACGGATTTTGTAACGTGCAACTGCTTAGTATGTATACGAAATAGCGTGCTTACCAGTGCGCTGTACAGTGGTAGAAAACTTCACTTCTAGAAGAGAATGCAATGTATTTTAATCTCAACTTTGCCTGGTAAAGGCATACAGTTCAACGTAGAAGACATTAAGACCTGTTGGCTTAACGTAAACTCCAAATCTGTTTTTCGTGTATTTGGAAAAAAAAAACTTTGTTAAAACTCCAAATCTCTGTTTTGTTGTTTCAAAGTGTAACCAGAAAGAACCATTCTTGCCATCATTTTGTTCATGTTGTCCCGGATGTTTGTGTTGTGTTCGCTTAGAATATATTAGATATAAGATTAAATATCTGCTGATTTGTTGTTCAATGTGTGTACATTGGGTGAATCACCGTCCAAATCTACATTGTGTTACTCTTCTTGTTATTCTATTTCCGTAAAATGCATTTTGTCGTTGCATGCTGTAAGACATCCAGACCACCAACTGGAATGTTTTTTTCTCAGTCTGTCAGAATCCGCTTGGGATGGAATCTGGCACCATACCTGATGACAGCATTACTGCATCTGGAGTCGGGCATCATTATTTACTACATCCCTACTTTGGCCGTTTAAAGGGAACAGCTGGTTGGGGAGGCTGGGGATCAGCGCGCTATAACGGAGGACAATGGTTGCAGGTAGGTTTAATATGTCTTTTTTTTTAAATCATGCAGGTATTTGGAAAAACTCCTTGTGAACCTTGTGATTTATTGCAGCAAATAAAAATTGTACCCAACCTTTGCCATCGACTAAACTACTGCGTTTGAAATACTTTGCTGCGTTTGAAATACTGCGTTTAGCATCAGCGCTGTTAGTAAGAACTGCTCCAAGTTACATCGTAATATGTCAAAACAATTGTGCATTTCAGGTGGATTTGGGGGTGATAAAGCGCGTCACGGGCGTCACTACTCAGGGTGCCTTCCAACCTGTCTATCATCAATACTCATGGGTGACGTCGTACAAACTTCAGTACAGTGGAGATGGAACGTTCTGGACAACATACGCCGACAGCGATGGGTCCGATAAGGTAACTTGGCCATTTATAAGATATTTATTCTCTCCTAGATCCTGCAATATTGTCTAATATCACCTTGTTTCTTAGACATTAACAATATCCCGTAAGTTGGCTCGACTCTCGGTGTGAAATTTGGGCCTGCAGGTCGTTTTTGTCTTTTATGTAGGTAGCTTTGTTGTGCCTTCTTTTCATTACATTATATGGTCTCTTTCATTTGACAATTTGTATTGAAACTTAGCCAGTAGCGGTGCCCTTTTCGTAGTCCTGTGTCGTACTTTAATTTTCCTATTTTGAATTATAATGTAAATTTTACCTTAACTCTGTGACGGGTAGGTTCCGTGAAATGCAGAAAAATGAGGTTATCGTCCAGCAGACAATCTCTCAATAGCTGCCTGTGGTTGTAACTTCAAGTACTAAAATACTCTGATTGCTAAAAGTGCACTTATTATTCATCGTTACAATACCTTTTGCTTCTTTCTTGCTTGCCAGTGTCAGTACGTCGCTGAACTCGTTACTGATATCGTTAGTGTTTAAAGACGGACTCCTGTAGATACATCCTACAAATATTTTTTTTCTACAAAGGTCATACTTTTAGTTGCGTTTGTCTGTCGGTAAACAAGATGACTCAATAACGGCTGGATGGATTGGTTTTAATATTAGTGCGTTAGTAGGGTGTGGCAACAACTGAAAACGATAGGATTTTGGTCTTCCTATTGGCTTCCCTTGGTACTGCAACTTGCAACTACCAATTTGATATCTTGTGATCTGGACATACTACGGCCATTAAAGTTTGGACGGTAGGTAGCTTTTGTTTTGCCGCTTCGGAAAATATCATGTGAGTTTGGACTTCCTAGCAGCTTGTTCTGGAAGTGCACGACGGGGTTTTCAGTTTTCAGTTTTATTTCAGATCCACAATTAGCCTCATAAGAGGATATTCTTCCTGTGGTCTACACATTCATATTTACATACATATATTACAAACGTACAAAACATTACAAAATTAACAGTACGTGGCAAACTTTACACAATTCACTATTTACAATCCAGTACTTTGCTAGTTGCCTATGTTATTCCACAACTGTGACATCCTGTATATAAAGCGCTTTTTCTGAGAGTTTGATTTTGGTTTTGGTAGTCTGATTTTGTTTGTGCAAGTTGGACGTGTTCGGTACTTGTGAATCTCGGACTGGGATGTGATTTTGTCGTAAAGGTTCGTAAAGTATAGGAAAAAAAAAGTTTCTTTTCCTGTGAGAGAGAGGGGACAACAGGAAAATTCAATGGATTAAAAAAAGCGGTCTGGGTAAGGAAGTCTACCCCAGTGATGAACCGGGACGAGGGGGGGGGATGTACAAGCTAGGCCACGTTCGGGATTGTGTTCTCGCCGCAAAAGCCTGCACCAACGTCCTACACACAGGACGGTTGCCTTAAAAACTTCAAGATAGTATAACTAAAAGCCGGTATTTTGTCGTAATTTTTGGTATGTAGGTAGCTTAAGTGACGCTTGACATAATAAAACTAAAAAGAAAATGAATAAAATTATGACATAAAATAAAACTTAAAATTATGCAAATCAGGATATATTTTCTGTAATTAATGAGGGAAATTTTAAATATCTGCTGTGTTCGATTTTAGGGCTATGAAACGCTTATGACATGTGTAATTGAGAACGTTATGATCATATATGGCAGATATTATGTAAAGAAAGACAAAATTTGCATATTTGATGGAAAATTGGTACAATTTGATTGTAGTAACTTGTTGTGAATTTAGTACTTGTATTTAAAATTTAACTGATAGTTAACAACACTGAACGTAATTTGTTCAATTAAGGAACTAATTTGCATAATTTATGATGCTATATAAATGCTAGAACAGCCGTATTTTTCTCGAGGTAAGACTGTCATTGGGTGGAGAATATGAACTGTTGCAATTAATACAAATGAGACTCTTATAATCTGCATAGACACCTTAAAACTATTTATAATTAGTCAATTTAAACGGTTAACATGATTTGGCGTATGTATCCGTTCGTGCATCTCTTGTTGTGTATAAAACCTGAAAAATTAGTCTCTAGCTTTTATAAAACAAACAGTATCATACATTGTTCATGACAAATAGAAGGTCAGTTTTCTTTTGCGACATGTGCAGCAATCCTGGAGTAGTGTACGTATTCTTAAAACCAAGATTGCGCCAATTCAAGTTCACATGTGGTCAAGTTTTCATCGGAATCATGCATTTACCTTCCAGGTTTTCACTGGCAACACGGACACGGAGAATCCTGTAACGAACCTACTGGGCAACCCTGTCGACGCCCGTTATGTGCGCTTCAACCCTCAGCGCTGGCACCACCGCATTGCCATGAGGGTGGAGATTCTAGGCTGCAGCACTGAGAGTAGATTGTTTTTCATTCGCTTGAACTTAGTTTATTAGCAATGTTTGAGCAGTATCAATTACGATATTTAAGTTTATTGCAAAGAGATACCGAAGGGCTAATTGTAGGTGCAAACAACATGTATAAGGCCATGGTGATTTGACGGTATGGATAACATCCGTGCGCACATGAATTTTTGTCCGTTTCAAAAAAAAAAGTCTTTGATCATACTAAAAATCGTACAAAGTAGCTGCAAAATGAGCAGACATATGCCATAAATTGAAAACGAATATTGGGAAATCGTACTTTTTTGCAGAATGCAAAAATCGATTCCAAAGGACAAGAAGGAAATGTTGAGGAATAAAAATTAAGGGGAGACTGTTCACCATGCCATTGAAATATTACTCTGTATTTAGTTATTTGTTCAACCTTCATAACCACGTGGATTTCATAATAAAGGCATTTGTTTTCTTTTGTACGCTCGCATCAGTTTTGCGCTTCCCAAAGGATGTCATCAATATAACTAAGTCAACGTGATGACCTTAAAAAAAGATATAAGAAACTACGTCTTACAGTATATTGCATTCTACAGTAAACATGGTACTAATTGATTTTTTAATACAATTCATGCTCAGTACTCTGGGGGCTGACCCTTAATGATGCCGGGATGAGTCACCTTAACGTGTCCTGGACAGTCGTGGGGAATCTTCCGATCTCGCGCTACACGCTCCGCTACCAGCCAGCAGACGGGTCGGGCTCGTACCAGGACCTCTCCCCCGCACCAGAAGCGGGAGACACCTCGGCAACTGTGTTAGGACTCATGGATCACACAGAATACACCCTCACTCTGACTTCTTTTGACGATAATGATCAACCAAACGGGGTTATCAACGGGACATTCACCACAGGTGGGTGGAGGATAAGTAATAATCTTTATTTGCAAAATCATACCCAACAAGAGTTGCACGATCTCATACCTTCGCCAAATAATGTTAACCTTTCCAGTTTAGGAATTATACATTGATTTCACAAATAAGGCCCTCATTTGCATGGATTGCATCAGTTGATCATATTCTCCACCCAATGGCAGCCTTATCGAACCAAAAAGGCTATACCAGCACTTCCTCATAAATTATGCAATTGAAATAATGATTTGAATAAAGTCACCTTCGCCTCACATGCAGCAAGTATGAAATTCCGAGCAGTTACTACTGTCAAATTATAGCAATTTACAATTTCCAATTATGCAAATAAGGTTGTCATTTACACAATCTATATCCTCAGATGTTTTTCGTTCTCAGTTGCATGTCACAAGTGTTTCATAGTCCTATTATCGAACGAAGCCGATTTAGAAATTTTCCTCATTAATTATGCAAATTAGCTCCTGATTTGCATTATTTTTATTTAATCATTCAAGTATCACTTGAGCTACCTACATACTAAAAATCACGACAATTCATCAACTGGTTCTTGAGTTATACTCCTTGGAATATTTTTCAACAAATGATCCTGCAGATCAAGAAGAAGCCGCTAGAGGACCCAAGCTCATGTCACTTCTTCCCTAGCCCAAGAGCTATCTACCTCCTAAAATTCATGACCCTAGCTTGTGCAGATCATGAGATCTAAAAGCCGAAAGCTCTGCTGCAGTACCTAGGAAAGCCGCCAAGGGCCCAAAATCTAATCATTTCTATGTCTTACCAAGACCTACCCACCTACCAAGGTTCATGACAATGCATATTAAGCTTCTTGAGTTATGCTGTTCACAGACAGACAGACAGACAAACAAACAGAAGGACAAACGCTAGCGCGCTACTGAAAACATAACCTTCTTGGTGAAGGTAACAATTAAATCAGCAACTGCAATTTTTCTCAGTCTGTCAGAGTCCGCTTGGGATGGAATCTGGTGCCATACCAGATGACAGCATCACCGCATCTTCAGTCTTGACTTATGTGCAACCCTACTTTGGCCGTTTGAAGGGAACTGCTGGTGTGGGAGGCTGGGCATCAGCGGGCCAGGACAGAACACAATGGTTGCAGGTAGGTTTAATTTTTTTGAAATCATGCTCGTGTTTTGAAAAACTTCCAATTAACTTCGTAGAACAGCATGAAAGTTCATATGAGTTGGTAAATTATGAAAAACTTAAACTGTTCTCCAACTCAAAATAGCTGAGGAAGACTGAGTGATTCAGTCAAAAATTTCTGGTGAGTCAAATTTTGAGTTGGAGAACAGTTAAAGTTTTTCATAATTTCGTAGAAGGCACTGTGATTTATTGCAGTATGTAATAAGTATTGTACCCAACCTTTGCCATTGCCTGGATCACTGCGTTTGAAATACTTGCGGTTAGCATCAATGCTGTTCCAAGCTATATTATAATATGTTAAAACAATTGTGCATTTCAGGTTGATTTGGGGGTGATAAAGCGCGTCACGGGCATCGTTACTCAGGGTGCCTTTCAACCTGTCCATGATCAATACTCATGGGTGACGTCGTACAAACTTCAGTACAGTGGAGATGGAACGTTCTGGACAACATACGCCAACAGCGATGGGTCCGATAAGGTAACTTGGATTTATAAGATATTTTGACAAATATTTATTCTCTCCTGCAATATTGTTTGATATTACCTTGTTTCTTAAACAGAAACAATACACCGTAATTTGGCCTAACTCTCGGCTGTGCCGTTTCAACTTGAAATTTGGGTCTGCAGGTAGGTTTTGTTTTCTTTTATGCAGGTAGCTTTGTCGTGCCTTCTTTTCATTTTATCATGCATAATCTCTTTCATGCGACAATTTGTATTGAAACTTAGCCAGTAGCGGTGCCCTTTTCGAAGTCCTGTGTCATACCATTGTGAATTCTAATGTAAATTTTACCTAAACTCTGTGACGGGTAGGCTCCGTGAAATGCAGAAAAATGAGGTTATCGTCCAGCAAACAATGTATAAAAAACTGCCTGTGGTCGTAACTTCAAGCTCTAAAATACTCTGATTGCTAAAAGTGCACTCATTATTCATTGTTACAATACCTTTTGCTTCTTTCTTGCTTGCCAGTGTCAGTACGTAGCATGACTCGTTACTGCTATCGTTAGTGTTTAAAGACGGACTCCTGTAGATACATCCTACAATTACATCCATTTACCTCCATAAAGGTCATACTTTCAGTTGCGTTTGTCCTGTTGGTCAACAAGATAATCCAATAATGGCTAGTTGGATTGGTTTTATAATTGGCGCGTTAGTAGGGTATGGCAACAACTGAAAACGATAAGACTTTGGGCACCCTAGTGGCTTCCCATGGTGCTGCAGCGTAACTTTTGGCATGGATATCTCGTGATCTAGACACGCTAGGGTCAGGAAGTTTGGATGGTTGGTAGCTGCGGTGATTTGAAAGAGGCCACGTGAGTTTGGACTCCCTAGCAGCTTGTTCTTAAAAGCAGGGAGGTTTCAAAAATAGTTTAATCAGGTTCGTAAAACAAAGGATACAGGAGATTCCTTTTACATTAACAAGAAATATACCTTGCTGACGTTTTGGTGTCTATCAGAGAGAGGGGACAAGTTGAGAATCCGATGGATTAAAGAAGCAGTCTGGATAAGGAAGTCTACGTCAGTGATGAACCGTAACGGGGGGGGGGGGTTACAAACTCCGCCACGTTTCGGATTATGTTCTGTCCGCAAAAGGCTAAATACGCTACATATAGCGGCGAGAAGCATAACTCCAGTCAAAAGCTGTAAGAAGATGTAATTCAGAACAACATTATCATGAAGTGATATTTATTATGTTAATAAAGACATAATTTGCATAATTAATGGAAATTGGTGCAAGTTTACTGTGGTAACTTGTTGAAATTATAATACTTGCCATATTTGGAATTTTAGTGATGGTGACATTTTTGCATTTGAAAAAAAAATGCTAGAATAATCTTATTTCTCGGGATAAGACTCTAATTGAGTGTGGAATTCAAACTGTTATGAGTTATGCAAACGGAGCTCTTATAATTTACATAATAACGGTGAAAATGGTTTACATGATTTGACAAAGGTATCCTGTTTTGCAACTCTTCTTGTGTATGAAACTTAAAATTAGTCTCTAGCTTCTATACAACAAACACTATTATACGTTTTCCATGCTATTGGATTTTTGCAGGGTGTTACTAGGTAGGGGCCATATGGATATTTCGCATAAAAGTTTTGCTTATTTGCAGGCCATCAACATTCATAAAACTTACAAAAGCACTTTTAAGTTAAAACATGTCATCGAGATCTGAGCTCGACGAACTCCAGTTTGCTTTTGCGACCTAGGCCACAATCCAGGAGTAGAGTGCGTAATTCAACTTCATAAAATTATGTTGTCAAGTTTTTATCAAAACAATACATTTGCCTCCCAGGTTTTTACAGGTAACACGGACGAGAAGAATCCTGTAACTAACCTACTGGACAACCCTGTCGACGCCCGTTACGTGCAATTTTACCCTCAGCGCTGGCACCACCGCATCGCCATGAGGGTGGAGATTCTAGGCTGCAGCACTGAGAGTAGGGTTTTTTCTCTTTTATTGGGTAGAAGTTAGTTTACTAGGAATGTTTAGCGGTGTTAATAAAGATCATTACATGTTTTTGCATCCTTCTGTCTCATACAATGGAGACTGTGTCAGTTCCTACACCGGAGCGAGGAGAGTTGATGCGGTGGCCTTCGCTTGGATTCGGGCATCCGTCTTCCACAGCGGGGTTTTTGTAGTGCTAAGCTGCCAGGTGATTTGGTTACGCTTAAGGCCCGCATTGATCATGCCCGCCCGCCAAGCGCTGCTCTCGTCCGTCTGCTGAATTGTTCGACTACTTGAAGGGGGATACGTGTCAATTGCCTTTCCCAGGGGCACAACATAAGTAACCTGAAGTTAGCAGCTCTTTCGGCAGCCCATTCGCGTCGGGGCGCATGTTTGGACATGCCCCTGTGATGGGACTGGGAATCGACGTCGAGCCGAATGCTCTAACCACTACCGTAAACGTCGCCACAGCAGAAACAATATGCAAATTCAAAACCGAGGGCAAATTGTAGGCGCAAAAAATGTAAAGGCCATGTTGATTTGATTAAATGGATGGCTTCCGCGCTCACATAAGTTTTCCTCTGTTTAAAAAAATGGTTTCTGTAAATCGTACAAAGTATCCCCAATTTAAGCAAGCATATGCCTTAACCTGACGAAAAGAATGTTGGAAAACTTTATTATCGAAAAAGAATGTTGGAAAACTTAACTTACTTATATTCCAAATTCCATTACAAAGGACGAGAAAATGTTAAAGAATGACTATAAAGAGCATATTATTCACCGTGCAAATAAAAATTTCTCTGTGAGTTTAGTCATTCGTTCAACTTTCATAACCACCATGATCGCATCAGTTTTTGGGTCCCCAGAGGATGTCATCCATATAATCAAATCAACAGAATGACCTAAAATCACAATGATATAAGAGACTACGTCTAACAGTATACTACATTCTACAGCATACATAGTACTAGATTTAATTTCATTAAATATGCCATTCCTACTCAGTGCTCTGGGGACTGACCCTCAATGATGCCGGGATGAGTCATCTAAACGTGTCCTGGACAGTCGTAGGGAATCTTCCGATCTCGAGCTACACGCTCCGGTACCAGCCAACAGACGGGTCGGGCTCGTACCAGGACCTCTCCCCCGCACCAGGAGCGGGAGCCACCTCGGCAGCAGTGCTAGGACTTGTGGATCACACGGAATACACCCTCACGCTGACTTCTTTTGACGAAAACAACCAGCCGAACGGAGTCATCAACGGAACATTCACCACAGGTGGGCGGAGAATAAAGTGGGCCAACAACCCACGGATTTTTGTTTTACGTATACAACTTTCTTCTTCAATCTTATTCAACTTTAATTTATACCAAAACATGGTAAATAGTTGATCTTAGTGGTAAGAAACCCCGCCCTTTTATGCAAATGTCAGGTTTGTAGTTTAACGTAGAGGCATAATATAAACACTAGATCTCTCTCGATCGTTTTCAAGTGTAACCAGAGGGGACCGTTGACGTAAATCATTCCTCATTTGTCGTTTTACAGAGCGATTTATTACCTCCATGAAATGTGTCATGGAGGTTATATTTTCAGTTGCGTTTATCTGTCCGTCTGTCCGTCTGTTGGTCAACAAGATAACTCAAGAACGCCTGGATGGATTGGTTTCATACTTGGTGTGTTGGTAGGGTGTGACGAAAACTGGAAATGATTAGATTTTGGGCCCCCTAGTGGCTTCCCTTGGTACTGCAGCGCAACTTCCGGTTTTGATATCTCGCGATCTGGATATGCTAGGGTCATGAAATTTGGATGGAAGGTAGCTCTTGTCCTCGGGAAGAAGTCACGTGAGTTTGGTCCCCCTAGCGGCTTGTTCTGGAACTGCAGGGTGGTTTCTTTGAAAATCTTAGAGAGAGGATAACTGAACAACCGTTTGATGGATCATCATGATTTTTGGTATGTAGGTAGCTTAAGTGATGCTTGACATAATCAAAATATAATTATGCAAATCAGGATCTAATTTGCATAATTAATGAGGAAATTCTATAAATCAGCTGTATTTCATATTAGGGCTATAAAACTCTATAGACATATGTTAGTGACAACGACAAGATCATTGGCAGATATCGATTATGTAAAGGAAGACCTAATTTGCATAATAAATGGCAAATTGGTACAATTTTATGGTGGTAACTGCTGGGAATTTAATACTTGCCATAATTGGAAGTTCAGTGAAGGTGAACATCACTAAACATAATTTATGTCAATCAGGACCTCATTTGCATAATTTATGAGGAAACGCTAGAATAGCCTTATTTCTTAAGATAACCCTGTCATTTGGTGGAGAGTATGATCAATTGATACGATATATGCAAATGGCCTCATATGATTTGAATATATGCGGTGAAAAATGTAAGCCAATTACAGGTGGTCATCACCATGCGTAAGATTTATGAAAACAATACACATGTCATGGAGGTATGAGATCATCGAACTCTAGTTTTATTTATTTTCGAAATTATTAGTTATGCCTCTCTGCTTAATTGACCAAGTGTAAAAAATATAAAACTGGTCCTTTTTTATCCAGACACTAGAATAGAAGCCCGTCCTTACTATTTTATCATCACTTAACTAACATTTAGATAAAACTCTAAAGTGTATAGGGTATTTAGTGTCGTGAAGTCATTTAGGTACTACTTTTTGTCTTGAATGCATGTACTGTTAGTTCAAAATATTTTAGATACAAGGGTTCCATAACGATTGACATGTTTTATACATTAGGCTTAAACACTAATTTCACATTTTATTCTTAACTGTAATTTTTTTTTGTTTTAAAAAATTCGAGTAACATTTTATCGCTGCATGTCTTAACCCTCAACAGAACACCTTCCCGGACTGATTAATCTGTACTCCTGGGGTCCGCGCGGACCCCAGAACAGTTTTTTGCTAATTTTTAGAAATTATCAACATGCTACCAGCTCAATTGTTTTGCAAACTGATGTGAGAACCTCTGTGTCCACATTACATACAAAAACCATACATTTTGAACTTTTTCTATTTTTTGGTGAAGAAAAGAAGACAAGAAGAAATACCCGATTTTTAAACCAATTTCAGACTGAAGGGGCTTTTGAGGCCCAACTTTGATCTCAGATAGCGGCTAAACGGCTTGCGCTAGAAGTATCAAATTTGGAGACCTTTCCTAAAATGTCTCTGGAAAAAAGTTCATATTAGTTTAATACTAGTAAGTTGATGTTTTTTTGTGTTGCCATGGCAACGGGTTTCTAGCAGGCAGTTTTTTTTAAATAGAAGTAATTTTGGTTTAAACATAAATTTTCTGAGTTTTATATTAAATTACACTTCTTTTCCAACATTAATAACATCTTACATAATTAAATATAAGTTAAATCATTTAATATGCATATAATATGCTAATTTGATGACGTCATTGGTCAAAATCCAATATGGCGGACTATATTATTAGCTCTAACGTCATATGACGTCATAATTACATCAAAGCTATTAAAATTTAATTCTATTACTACACCATTCTCTGAAAACTTGGTAGACATACGATGAGTGCATAAAAACATATAAAAACGGAAATAAGGTAATGTATAAGAACGCCAGTGTATCCATTATTATCGAAAGCCGGCTGTGGTCCGCGCGGACCCCAAAAGAAAATCAGATATAATTTTTTTTGTAAATGGTAGAAACGGAGTTTTCTGCACTGTATTGAGAGACAATTTTGTGGGTGACAATTACCAAAAATTTCAGAAAAAAATCTTTAGACACAAAAAAGATACTACATAATATATAGTGCTGGGGTCCGCGCGGACCCCAGGTGTACTGTTTAGGGTTAAGCTTATAACGACACACAAACTGAAATATATTTTTTTCTTCCCAGTCTGCCAGGATCCATTTGGGATGGAATCTGGTGCCATACATGATGACAACATCACTGCATCTTCAGTAGGGCATAGTCATTTGCTACGCCCCTACTTCGCGCGTTTAAAGGGAACTGCTGGTTGGGGTGCCTGGGGATCGGGGCACCAAATCATTGGAGAATGGTTGCAGGTAGGTTGATATTGTAAGAGATTTCTTTTAAACCCTGTCTATATTTGAAAAGAAATGCCTTTGCTAACTCTGTGGAAAGGAATTCGATCAATTGTAACAATGAAGCACAGTATCCAACCTCTTGGTTTTTAAAATTTTTTAGATACATGTAAATGCGTTCAGTATTATTGCGTGCAGCTTTAATGTGTTTTTTTTTTCAAGTACTGGTCCATCTTACATCTTAATATGTCACCACAATTTTGAATTTTAGGTGGATTTGGGGGTGATAAAGCGCGTCACGGGCACTGTTACTCAGGGTGCTGTTTTGCCTGTACATAATTACTATTCATGGGTGAGGTCATACAAACTTGAGTACAGTGGAGATGAATTTTTGTGGACAACATATGCTGACAGCGATGGTTCAGATAAGGTAATTTAGATACATAAAACTACTTTTAAAAAGACTTAATGGATAACTCTCTTGTAAGCAATATTATTGGATATCTTTTTTTCTACACATTAAGATCCTTGTTTTTTAATACGACATTTTCCCGGCTTTCTTGTCTTTTTTGTTTACTGTTCACAGTCGTCAGATATCACAACCCCCTTGGTATCGTTAGTTTAGGTTTAGCTTACTAACTAGATTTTATTATTGGTGAAGTGTCAAAGGAACCATGATTACATAATCGCTGGTCGTATATAAGGTATATCAAAGACAAAACAACAACCCTCACCTAAATTGTACATTTGCCTTTCAGGTTTTCACAGGCAACACGGACACAAAGAATCCTGTAACAAACCTTCTGGACAACCCTGTCGACGCTCGTTATGTGCGCATCTACCCACAGTCTTGGTACGGCTACATGGCAATGAGGGTGGAGATTCTAGGCTGCGAAACTGAGCGTAGGTATCGAATCCTGTATCGGTTAGAGTGTAGTTTACTTTTTGTGTTTTGTCGTTCTTAATCAATGTACCATTCATTTCCAGTAATCTGGGGGCTGACCCTCAATGATGCCGCGATGAGTCATCTGAACGTCTCCTGGACAGTCGTGGGGAATCTTCCGATCTCGCGCTACACACTCCGCTACCAGCCGGCAGACGGGTCTGGCTCGTACCAGGACCTTTCACCCGCACCAGGAGCGGACGCCACGTCGGCAGCAGTGCTAGGACTTATGGATCACACCGAATACATCCTCACTCTGACTTCTTTTGACCAGGACGACCAGCCGAACGGAGCCATCAACGGAACATTCACCACAGGTGGGTGGAGAATAAAGTGGGCCAACATCCCACGGATTTGTGTTTTACGTATACAACTTTCATTTACACATAAACATGCTAAATAGTGGTTAATTACACCGCTCTTTGATAAGAACGTTAGATGTTCGAATCCAGAAATTACCTCCTGTCTGTCGAATTTTCAGTTTTGTGATCCACAGTATTGATATAAACACTTAATCTCTCTTGTTCGTTTTAAAGTGTAACTAGAGCGATTTATTTTATTTCTTTACTAAATTTTAAGTTAGGCCCCTGTGCTTAATGGACCAAGCGTAGAAAGTATAAAACTGGTCCTTTTTTCTTATCCAGAGTCAGACTCTAGAATATATAGAAGCCCGTCCTTATTATTTTATCATCCAGGGGTGCCTTAGTATACAGTACAATTATATTAGTATACAGTACAACTTTACGCAATACAGTGCAATCGTATTAGAATACAATGCAATTTCACGCAATGCAGTGCAATTTTACTAGTGACGTTGAATCACGTGACTTAGACCCTGCTTTCCCTTGAGTTTCAAGATGACGGACGCCGCTGACTCACATATTTCTGTGTTTTTCGAGCGAATTTGAAATGATCCATTGGCAGCAACATGCCCTGTGTGTATTTTTTAGTGACTTAACTAAAGGTCTATCTACGAGAACGGTCCAGATTCGCTCGAAAAACACAGAAATATGTGAGTACACTCCGTCAACGGCGTCCCAGAAAACTGGGTCCAGGTAACGCCATTCAACGTCACTAATAAAATTGCACTTTATTCCGTAAAATTGCACTGTATACCAATATGGTGGCACTGTATTCCGTAAAATTGCACTGTATACAAGTAAACGTGCACTGTATTCCGTAAAATTGCACTGTATACTCTGGCACCCCTGTCATAACTTATCTAACTAACACCAGCGGAAAACTGTTTTTCGTCTTTATTTAGATAAAACTCTAAAGTGTATATGGTATTTAGTGGCGTGAAGTCATTTAGGTGCTACTTTTTGTCTTGAATGCTTGTGCTGTGTATATAATATTTTAGATCCACGGGTTCCATAACGATTGGCCTGTTTTGTACATTGGGCTTAAACACTGATTTTACATTTTATTCTTAACTGTAATTCTTTTTTTTTTCACAAAAGCGAGTAAGATTTTATCGCTGCATGTTTGAAGGACACTCAAACTGAAATATTTTTTTCTTCCCAGTCTGTCAGTATCCACTTGGGATGGAATCTGGTGCCATACATGATGACAACATCACTGCATCTTCAGTAGGGCATAGTCATCTGCTACGCCCCTACTTCGCGCGGTTAAAGGGAACTGCTGGTTGGGGCGGCTGGGGATCGGGGTACCAAATCATTGGAGAATGGTTGCAGGTAGGTTGATATTGTAAGAGATTTCTTTTAAATCCTGTGTATATTTGGAAAGAAAGGTCTTTGCTAACTCTGTGGAAAGGAATTTGATGAATTGTAACAATGAAGCACAGTATCCAACCTCTTGGCATTGCATAGATAACTGCGTTCAGTATTACTGCGTGCAGCTTTAATATTTTTTCAAGTACTGGTCCATGTTACATCTGCATTTCAGGTAGATTTGGGGGTGATAAAGCGCGTCACGGGCATGACAACCCAGGGTGCTCTCTTGCCTGTACATCATCGCTATTCATGGGTGACGTCATACAAACTTCGATACAGTGGAGATAAAACTTTCTGGACGACATATGCCAACAGCGATGGCTCGGATAAGGTAACTCGGATACATTTATAAATGTATGTTAAAAGTGTTAATAACTGTCTCCTGAAATACTAATGAATACCTTAACCCTACCTAGACCGGGGGGGGGCTAAAAGTGCCCGCGGCAACTTTGATGTCACCTAGCGTCAGAACGGCTAGCCGTAAAACGACCAAACTTGGTGACTTTTCCTAAAATATTGTTGGCAACAATTCTCTATCATTGGAATAAGATAATAATTTTTTGTGTTGCCATGGCAACGGGTTTCTGACAGGCATTTTTTGCTAAATTTAGTACTTTTTGTTTCAACAATAGAATTTTATGGGTTTTATGTCAAGTTACTCATGGTTTCTAATAGTAATAACATCCCATATAATTTTATGTAAATTTTATCATTAAATATGCATAATTTATGCTAATTTGATGACGTCATTGGCCAAAATCCAAGATGGCGGACCATATCATTAGAACAGGTATATACGGGTTATTTTCATTAAAATTTCATCAATACTTCCATTTCTTTTTACAAAAAAGGTTTGAATGAAGGTGTTTAGTATGTTTACAATGTATTTTAGGCTTTATCATGAAAAAAACTATTTTTGAAAATTCAAGATTGATGATCCAAGATGGCGGATATCTTAAATATGCATGACGTCATTTTATGACGTCACCGGTGTTGCTATGGGCAACATAAGACTTAGTACACACTAATATTCTGTCATAAACACTTTTGGTAAAGTTATGTTGTATACCAGGGAGGTTTTCAGGAGAAAAACCTATTTAGACGGTTTTGGCCAATAAAATCACATTAATGACGTCATAATGACGTCATATTACGTCATAACGACATAAAAATTGTAGATATGATAAATTTTCACTAGTACACCATTCTCTGAAAATTTGGTGGTCATACGACATACCGTTCGCGAGTTCTTAGGGGGGGGTCAAAAGAGCCCCCCCCGGTCCCCCCATGTCAAAAAAAGCCCGGTCTAGGTAGGGTTAATGTTTCGTACACATAGAAATACTATTTTAAACATACCGGCTTTCTCATCTGCGACTTTAAATTATATGTTTACAAAATTTTCTCTTTCTTGAAATTTGTTCACTAAATACTAAAATTGGACATTACACACGTGTACACCTATTTTAAGCTTAGGTTTAGGAATGCAGTTTTTAATTGATGGAATGTTTAAGTTACGTTTATTGAAGGGTTGTTGGCAGAACAAAATTTTGGGAACTATAGAACCCTCCTCTGAATTATACATTTGCCTCCCAGGTTTTCACAGGCAACACGGACACCAAGAATCCTGTAACGAACCTACTGGACAACCCTGTCGACGCCCGTTACGTGCGATTTTACCCTCAGCGCTGGCACCACCGCATCGCTATGAGGGTGGAGATTCTAGGCTGCGCCGCGGAAGGTAGTTTTTTTCTTGCATTGGGTAGTTAACTAGCAATATTTTATCATTGTTAATAAATATAACAACGGAGCTCTACCGGGCAGGAAACTGTCTTCCCCAGACAGCATCCCTTTTTTTAGTCCCAGGGTGCACTCAGATGAACTTATTGATAAATCAGATTTGCAAGAAAGCAATAACTCGATCAGTAACTTGATATAGTTTTGGCTCTTTTATGAATAGACAGCTTGTCTGAAGATCACACTTGATTGGTAGACAAACATGACTCGGAAGGTTAAGCTGCTGTTCCAACGTCCGACGGAATTCGCTTTTTCGAGAGCGGGATACGCCGCTTATGCGCGAGTTATATGGAAAATTTGCAAGCCCGTGTAGTAACCAAATAGAACCCCTGCCTGTACCACGTGTTATTACAATGGTAGAAACATCCGTATCAAAAGTTATCGCAGCCTGGGTAAGATAAATGTGACTACATAACTTGAAAAATGACCTCTTCAACCACTCCTCAACCATTGAAGTGGTTTACAAAGGTTTAATGAAATTCGTTGATATGCATGGCCATCTCTAAGCACATTATCTTAAATTCAGCTACACTACTCTAAAACCTTTGCGCAGCTGAATTAAGCTGAAAATTTACTCGGATGTTATTCTGTTGCAGTCTGCTTCATTATTCTTTGCTTTTAATCTAACTGTAAGTTCTATATGTACATGGCATATGGATATGATTGTAAATGTACATGTACTTACATTAGCCTTTTACTAGATAAATGGCACATGTACGTGCATATCCTAAGAATTGGCAACCTTATTTGAGGCAGGAAATCTTTCTCAGCAGCCAGAGTACCTCCTATGAGCAAGGTTGACTGTACCAATTTTTCCAGTACTCTTGGGGCTGACCCTTAATGATGCCGGGATGAGTCACCTGAACGTCTCCTGGACAGTCGTGGGGAATCTTCCGATCTCCCGCTACACGCTCCGCTACCAGCCGGCAGACGGGTCGGGCTCGTACCAGGACCTCTCCCCCGCACCAGGAGCGGGAGACACCTCGGCAGCTGTGGTAGGACTCATGGATAACACCGAATACACCCTCACTCTGACTTCTTTTGACGAGGACGACCAGCCAAACGGAGTCATCAACGGAACATTCACCACAGGTGCGCGGGGATAAATGAAATGGGCAAACAACCCATGTATTTGTAGAAATGTATAAAGTGTATGCAACAAATGTCGTAGTACTGTTTTGTTGTCAAAACTACATTATCTACATTGTACATGGCACATAGTAGCCTTTATTAATATTTGACAGCCGAATTGCAAGGTTGCTCACTGTCAGTACACGGGTTATTAAAATGGCTACGTTTAGTAATAATGGCTATAGTTTTTTTGGCTTTTGATGCCCGCCCTCTGTAAGTCGACAACTACTCACCGTAGGGCCATTTAATTTGCAGAGAATGGTGTAGTAATTACATCAAATTCATACATAACAACAATTATGCCTATAGAATGAAGTCGTATGACGTCATTATCTCGAGTTTTATGTGATTTTAGGGATAAACTGCCTGAACGGAATAAAATGTTAAACTCTGTAGTATAGTCTACTGTGACAAGCAATCCCCCTTCTGTCTAAGACGTTAATATTTACATGCAAATCCGGAATGTGCCTGCTACTGATAGCCTTTGCACACCGCTGGTTCCACATAAGGAGACATAATCTCTCTCATTTGTTTCAAAGTGCTACTTAAAGATATATCGTAAACGACTAAATACTATATTTTCTTTTTTTTCTACGATTTTGTAAATTTAGTTAAGATTTTTTTTACATAAAGGTTGTCTATATTTAACTCTACCCATACATGTGATGCTGGTTGCTTTCCTTCTCATTTGGACGGTAGAATTAAGATTTTTCCTACTTTATGATTACTTAATAACCCAAAGAATAACACTAGATATATATATTTTTTTTCTCCCAGTCTGTCAGAATCCCCTTGGGATGGAGTCTGGCGCCATACCTGATGACAACATCACTGGACCTGGAGACTGGCATCATCATATGTTGCAGCCCTACTTCGGGCGGTTAAAAGGAAGTGCTGGTTGGGGCGGCTGGATGGGGCGGATGGTCGGACATTGGTTGCAGGTGGGTAAATATATTAATATATATTCTTAAAATCCTGTGCATATTGAGAAAGGAATCTTTTTTCACGTTACCGTTATAGAAGGCGGTTCATTTCATTACAACAATTAAGGAAACTTCTGTTTTATGTTAAATTCACAATAAATGACAAAACGATTCTGACTTTCAGGTTGATTTAGGAGCGATAAAGCGCGTCACAGGCACCGTTACGCAGGGTGCTCTCTCACCTATCAATAATTATTATTCATGGGTGACGTCGTACAAACTTGTGTACAGTGGAGATAAAACTTTCTGGACGACATACGCCAACAGTGATGGCTCAGATAAGGTAACTTGGGTACATGAACAAGCTGTAAGAAAAATTACGCTCTGTGTGTGTGCAATATGAATGAATATCTTTTCTGTAGAAATGAGAAATCCTCTATAAAATAGAATATTTCCTTGACTTCGCCTTTCTCGTTTCAATATATGTTCGCACGACTGTTCTCTGACCAAACTTTTTCTCTTAATAACATTTATGGACACTTCCCATGGGCATCGTTACCGAAAGCTAAGCTAATTACTGAGTAAATTTACGTAGAGTATAATTTGTCTCGAAGGAAATGACAAATATATGTTGATAAAGTGGTCGTTTGTTTAACATAAGATCCACCAAAGAGGAAACTAAAACTCTTCAATATACCTTTTTATTTCAGGTTTTTACAGGCAACACGGACACGGAGAATCCTGTAACGAACCTACTGGACAACCCCGTCCACGCCCGTTATGTGCGCTTCTACCCTCAGCGCTGGCACATCCACATGGCCATGAGGGTGGAGATTCTAGGCTGCGGCACTGAGAGTAGGTTTCCGATGTTGCATTAATTGAATCATAGCTCAGTTGTAATGTTTTATCATCATGTCATTAATCATTGTAAATTAATTTATAATTTATTTCTAGTACTTTGGGGGCCGACCCTTAATGATGCCGGCATGAATCATCTAAACGTGTCCTGGACAGTCGTGGGGAATCTTCCGATCTCCCGCTACACGCTCCGCTACCAGCCGGCAGACGGGTCGGGTTCGTACCAAGACCTCTCCCCCGCACCAGGAGCGGGAGACACCTCGGCAGCTGTGGTAGGACTCATGGATAACACCGAATACACCCTCACTCTGACTTCTTTTGACGAGGACGACCAGCCAAACGGAGTCATCAACGGAACATTCACCACAGGTGCGCGGGGATAAATGAAATGGGCAAACAACCCATGTATTTGTAGAAATGTATAAAGTGTATGCAACAAATGTCGTAGTACTGTTTTGTTGTCAAAACTACATTATCTACATTGTACATGTCACATAGTAGCCTTTATTAATATTTGACAGCCGAATTGCAAGGTTGCTCACTGTCAGTACACGGGTTATTAAAATGGCTACGTTTAGTAATAATGGCTATAGTTATTTTGGCTTTTGATGCCCGCCCTCTGTAAGTCGACAACCACTCACCGTAGGGCCATTTAATTTGCAGAGAATGGTGTAGTAATTGCATAAATTCATAACAACAATTATGCCTATAGAATGAAGTCGTATGACGTCATTATCTCGAGTTTTATGTGATTTTAGGGATAAACTGCCTGAACGGAATAAAATGTTAAACTCTGTAGTATAGTCTACTGTGACAAGCAATCCCCCTTCTGTCTAAGACGTTAATATTTACATGCAAATCCGGAATGTGCCTGCTACTGATAGCCTTTGCACACCGCTGGTTCCACATAAGGAGACATAATCTCTCTCATTTGTTTCAAAGTGCTACTTAAAGATATATCGTAAACGACTAAATACTATATTTCTTTTTTTTCTACGATTTTGTAAATTTAGTTAAGATTTTTTTTACATAAAGGTTGTCTATATTTAACTCTACCCATACATGTGATGCTGGTTGCTTTCCTTCTCATTTGGACGGTAGAATTAAGATTTTTCCTACTTTATGATTACTTAATAACCCAAAGAATAACACTAGATATATATATTTTTTTCTCCCAGTCTGTCAGAATCCCCTTGGGATGGAGTCTGGCGCCATACCTGATGACAACATCACTGGACCTGGAGACTGGCATCATCATATGTTGCAGCCCTACTTCGGGCGGTTAAAAGGAAGTGCTGGTTGGGGCGGCTGGATGGGGCGGATGGTCGGACATTGGTTGCAGGTGGGTAAATATATTAATATATATTCTTAAAATCCTGTGCATATTGAGAAAGGAATCTTTTTTCACGTTACCGTTATAGAAGGCGGTTCATTTCATTACAACGATTAAGGAAACTTCTGTTTTATGTTAAATTCACAATAAATGACAAAACGATTCTGACTTTCAGGTTGATTTAGGAGCGATAAAGCGCGTCACAGGCACCGTTACGCAGGGTGCTCTCTCACCTATCAATAGTTATTATTCATGGGTGACGTCGTACAAACTTGTGTACAGTGGAGATAAAACTTTCTGGACGACATACGCCAACAGTGATGGCTCAGATAAGGTAACTTGGGTACATGAACAAGCTGTAAGAAAAATTACGCTCTGTGTGTGTGCAATATGAATGAATATCTTTTCTGTAGAAATGAGAAATCCTCTATAAAATAGAATATTTCCTTGACTTCGCCTTTCTCGTTTCAATATATGTTCGCACGACTGTTCTCTGACCAAACTTTTTCTCTTAATAACATTTATGGACACTTCCCATGGGCATCGTTACCGAAAGCTAAGCTAATTACTGAGTAAATTTACGTAGAGTATAATTTGTCTCGAAGGAAATGACAAATATATGTTGATAAAGTGGTCGTTTGTTTAACATAAGATCCACCAAAGAGGAAACTAAAACTCTCCAATATACCTTTTTATTTCAGGTTTTTACAGGCAACACGGACACGGAGAATCCTGTAACGAACCTACTGGACAACCCCGTCCACGCCCGTTATGTGCGCTTCTACCCTCAGCGCTGGCACATCCACATGGCCATGAGGGTGGAGATTCTAGGCTGCGGCACTGAGAGTAGGTTTCCGATGTTGCATTAATTGAATCATAGCTCAGTTGTAATGTTTTATCATCATATCATTAATCATTGTAAATTAATTTATAATTTATTTCTAGTACTTTGGGGGCCGACCCTTAATGATGCCGGCATGAATCATCTAAACGTGTCCTGGACAGTCGTGGGGAATCTTCCGATCTCCCGCTACACGCTCCGCTACCAGCCGGCAGACGGGTCGGGTTCGTACCAAGACCTCTCCCCCGCACCAGGAGCGGGAGGCACATCGGCAACTGTGGTAGGACTTATGGATCACACCGAATACACCCTCACTCTGACTTCATTTGACGAGGACGACCAGCCTAACGGAGTCATCAACGGAACATACACCACAGGTAAGCGGGGATGAATTAGGTGCACACAGATTTGTAGAAATGTATAAAGGGCATGCAACATAGGTCGTAGTAGTAAATTTATTTAACGGTCAAAACTATCTACGTCGTACATGTCACATAATAGATCATATTTGACACTATCAGTACATGGTGTATTGAAAAAAGGAACTGTCTATTACAAATTGCTATAGTTTTGAATTTTGAAAGAAACATATCAAAACAATCACTTGTAATTAATTCTACAATTAAAATGCCAATAGAACAACATCGTTTAGATATGAGATTATAAACATAAGTTAATTGTATGATATTAATTGCCATGAAGTCAAATAAAAGTATGTATTAAAAGTCTATTAGAGACTTGGCAGCTGCAAGATCTTAACAGATGTATCTGTCAGTAGACCAAATAAATAAATTCCAAACAGTGGGTTACGGTACTTAGCACCCTCCCCCCTTGTCAAGAATGTAATTTGCATACTAACGATAACACATGTTAATTCCGTTAGTTCAACGTTAAACCATTAATCTCTCTCATTTGTTCAAAGTGTTATCTCAAAAGACCTTGTTCCGTTGTTCATTCGTCCAACGCAGTACATAGTTTCTTTTCTCTTTGTAAATTTAGTTAAGTATTTTTTTATTAAGAGGTTGTCTATGCTCAGAAAATGTAATGCTGGTTTCTTTTATCTCATTTAAACTATAGAAAGGTAGCATTTCCCAACCAAATGTCCGCACAATATTCAATAACCCAAAGAATTATTAGTTTTCCGTCGGTATTTCCTATAAATAATCAAGGTCTAAGTTAATACTATTATGTTTCATGATATGGGAACCAGGATAAAGGTTGTTTTTTTTTCTGCCAGTGTGTCAGAATCCGCTTGGGATGGAATCTGGTGCCATACCAGATGACAACATTACTGCATCTGGAAACTGGCGTCATCATATGTTGCAGCCTTACTTCGGGCGGTTGAAGGGAACTGCTGGTTGGGGCGGATGGGGAGCAATAGCCGGACAATGGCTGCAGGTAGGTACACATTTTGATAGATTGTAAATAAAAAGGTTGTTTGTAAAAAATATAGTTTGATTCATAACGACAATTTAAGTTATAGTACAACACCTTTTGTCTAAATCATTTTGTCCCAACAAAAAATAAACTCTCTGTTGATCCCGTCAACCTTCATCAGCTGATCACTCTCCGGAAGTCAGGAGCGCATCAACGTCTTGGTTCAGATGGGGTTGTTGGGCCCTGATGTAAACTGCCTTCTTCACATCCCTAACAAAGTAGTCCTGCTCCGTATCCAAAATGCACACCTTGTCAAGCGTAACTGTGTGTCAAGCGTAACACTTAAATTTGTGTAAAACACTCGACATCATTCTGCACAGACTTGAAGCTGGCACTTCTCTCAAAGATCGCTCCACACTTTCACCTCGTTAAAAATCTGCCATGTAGAATTCTATCGCCAAATCCCTGGGCAGCTATTGGCTCACCAGTCTCACCGATTTTGTTTAATCTGTTCATGAATTATCTTGAACAGTTAGCTATACGTATCGATACGTGGATGATCAGTGTTGCCAAAGTATACAGTGAAATTTTACGGAAGACAGTACAATCGTATTAGTATACAGTGTAATTTTACGGAATACAATGCAATCGTATTAGTATACAATGCAATTTTATGGAATACAGTGCAATTGTATTAGTATATAGTTACAAGTAAAATTGCACTCTATACTATTAAATTTGCACTGTATACTAATGCGATTGTACTGTATTCTGTAAAGTTGCACTGTATACTAGTAAAATTGCACTGTATTTCGTACAATTGCACCGAATTCCGTAAAATTGCACTGTATACTCTGGCACCTCTGATGATACACTCCCAATTAAACTTAAAAATTCACATCAAAGGAAAAATAAACCACATATGTTATTTTAATGGTAAATACCGCTAAAATGGACCAGAAATTTTTCTGTCGCGTTACCGATTTTAACAGAAGGCCTTCTGGCCGCTATGTCGATAGCTACATACACGCCTTTCCCCGTCCGGTTTTGTGGGCAAAACTCTGCTTTTTATAGACATTTTGGGACTTAAAACCCATAGCAAGGGAAAAAAAACATATACGTTATTTCCATTTTCTACAGTTAGTTCGTAAACGTACTCGTATCGGACGCCCTTGCGTCGGAAGTGTCGCAACACATACTCATTGCGTCACCCGGCCACATAGTTGCGCTTGACAAGGGGTGCATTTTGAACGCGCAGGACTACTTTGTGAGGGGTGTGAAGAAGGCACTTTACTTCAGGGCCCACCATCCCCATCTGATCCGTGACGGTAATAGATTCCGTCTTTCCGCCACTTTTGATGCGCTCCTTACGTCATCACGGTTCCGAGTTCCGGAGAGTGATCACCAAGTGCATCATTATTCTAACAAAGGGTGACAAGGTCAACCGAAAATTCATTGAGAGTTTTTTTGTGTGTTGGAACAAAGTTTGAACTCAAGAATAAGTCACTTAATTGATAATAATTCCGTAATGCGTTTTTTGAAAAACATCTATTCTATGTAATATTACCATAAACAGCAAATTATTTCTTCCTTTCAGGTGGATTTAGGGGTGGTAAAGCGCGTCACAGGCACCGTTACGCAGGGTGCTCTCTACCCTATAGATCATCATTCTTATTCATGGGTGACGTTGTACAAACTTGAGTACAGTGAAGATGAAACTTTTTGGACGACATACGCCAACAGCGATGGCTCTGATAAGGTAACTTGGATACATACACTATAGAATATACGCTCTTCTGCAATATTGATTAACGCTATGTAGACCCGGCTTTTTGGGGCTTTTAGGACACGGGCGGGGGGGGGGGCTGGCTCATTCGGCCACCCCCTCAGAACTCGCGAACGGTATATCGTGTGATCCATAAATTGTCAGAGGATGATTAACTAGTAAAAAAGAATGATAACAACAATTTTGATGTCATTAATTAAGGGTTAATGACCCGCCCTTTATCAGTGAATATGGTGTGATAAAGTCGTGTCAGTTGCTATAACCACCGAATGAAGCCACCGAGTCAGCGCAGGTGGTTTATGAGGTGGTCACCTGAGGTCATATGCGGGTGATTATTGGGTTGTTTAATGTTTGGATTGGGATGAATAAAGACCCGGTTTTGACTCTATTTGTGACATTACGGCGTCATAAGAAATGTGGAATGGAGCATTCTGATTGGTCAACGTCACCCGGCTATATTAATGTGATTTTATTGATTCAAACCGTATAGATAGATTATTCCCTAAAAACTCAATGGTATACAACGTAACTTAAATAAAACCTGTTTAGACCTGATCGAATCATGCGGTCCGCCTTTTTAGATTTTGGATGATGAAATTTATATAAAATCACATGAAATATTATTAGTTCCTAGTGAATTCTTTCATCAGTGACAACTTTGGAAGGATAAGGATACTAACCTCCAAATTTTCGATGGCTATCAGTCCATCTGGTTCACGGAGTGGCCTAATCTCGCGAGAGCGCGAGACTAGGCCCGAGACTTGCATCGGTCTGTCGGGCCCCACCCCCCGCCGCCTCCCTCCGAAGTAAGGGTAAGTAAGTCTTGGGGAGCTCCCCAACAGACAGGAACATGAACAGGAACTCTTCGATCACATCAACACAGAGCATGACAGTATCAAGTTCACTATTGAGAGGGAACAAGACAACCGTCTCCCCATGCTGGATGTCATGATGGTCAGGAATCCAGACAACACCATCACTACAGATGTGTTCAGAAAACAAACCCACACCGACCACTATTTGCAGTGGTTCTCCAACCACCCGGTGCAACAGAAGCTTGGGATAGTTAGGACTCTCATGCACAGAGCCAACACCCTTACTGAAGATCCCGCTTTGAGAGAGACCGAAAAGGAAAAAGTCAGAGTAGCCCTCAGACACTGTGGATACCCAGAATGGGCCCTGAGGGAGGGGGAAAATAACTCCAGAAAGGACAAAAGTAGCAAGGAACAGAGTAGGACTGGAAAACAAGAACAACTCCCAGCGAGTTACCTGGTTCTACCCTACATACATGGAGTTACAGAGAGGTTGAAACGAGTATATGCCAAACACAATGTGAGCCTGTACTCCAAACCGGGCTTCACCTTACGTAATGCCCTTGTCAGACCCAAGGACCCTCTAGCACCTGGGGAGAAGTGCGGTGTGATCTAAAAGATCAAGTGTGAAGAGTGCGGGGAGGTTTACGTTTGTGAAACTGAGCGGTCACTGGGGGAAAGGACTTCTAAACACCAAAAGTCATTACATCAGAAAGACTGCAAATCTGCGTTAAGTCAACACCAACTGCAGGTTGGTCACAACATCACTACCAGGCCCATCTCTGACATTATAGAAATCATAGACCAAGAGTCTCGTAACCCACATAGGAAGATTAAGGAAGCGGTGCACATACAGTTGGAAGGTGCCAAGCTAAACCGGACAGAAGGTTGGGAGCTCCCCAAGACTTATTTACCCTTACTTCGGAGGGAGGCGGCGGGGGTGGGACCCGACAGACCGATGCAAGTCTCGGGCCTAGTCTCGCGCTCTCGCGAGATTAGGCAACTCCGTGAACAAGATGGACTGATAGCCATCGAAAAAATTTGGAGGTTAGTATCCTTATCCTTCCAAAGTTGTCACTGATGAAAGAATTCACTAGGAACTGTATCTATACGTGACAAATGAATCTCTTCAACGAAATATTATTAATATTGTGTAACCTGATATTAAACCCATAAAATTGCATTGTTACTAAACACAGCAAAAATGCCCGTCAGAAACCCGTTGCCATAGCAACAACAAAAAAATCATTATCTTAATCCACTGATAAAAAATTGTTGCCAACAATATTTTAGGAAAAGTCACCAAGTTTGGCGGTTTCTACCGTGAGCCGTTCGCTTTCCGACATCAAAGTTAATTGGCGCGGGCACTTTAAGTCCCTTCCCGGTCCTGATAGGGTTAATACCTGTTTTGTAAGTGTGCAAACAAAAGTGACCTCTTAGAAATAGAATACTTTCCAGACTTCCGTCTGTCTTGTTTGCAGATTTGAAATGTATGTTCACAAAACTTTTCTCTGATCAAATTTCTCCACTTGATAACATTTCCTAGGTACCACTACCGCATACTGGCGTCATTAGCCTACTAGTAGGTTTTAGCTTATTTGATTAGTTTATCTATGATGGTGGAATGTCAAAGATATGGCAATTATAGGGCCGCTGGTGGTGAAAGAGATCTCGAAAAGACGAAACAAAAACCCTTATATCAATTTTATTTTTGCCTTTCAGGTTTTTACAGGCAACACGGACACGGAGAATCCTGTAACGAACCTACTGAGCCACCCTGTCAACGCCCGTTATGTGCGCTTCAACCCTCAGAGCTGGCACCACCGCATTGCCATGAGGGTGGAGATTCTAGGCTGCAGAGCTAACAGTAGAGGTGCTTTTTTTACCTTGGATAGAGTCTATACCGATAAATCATTTCGCTACAATACAGTTTTTACCTTCGCCAAGAAGGTTATGTTTTCACAGGCGTTCGTGTATGTGTGTGTGTGTGTGTGTGTGTGTGTGTGTGTGTGTGTGTGTGTCTGTAAACACGATAACTTGAGAAGGCCTTGATGGATTGTCTTGATACTTGGTAGGTGGGTAGGTCTTGATGAGACCTCAAAATGATTAGATTTTGGACCCCCTAGCGGCTTGTTATAGTACTGCAGCTGAACTTCCGGTTTTGATATCTCATGATCTAGACATGCTATGGTGATGAAATTTGGATGGTAGGTAGCTCTTGTGCTGGGGAAGAAGTGACGTGAGTTTGGGCCTTCTAGCGGCTTGCTCTGGAACTGCAGGGGTATATTCTTGAAAATATTCAAAAAGGGATCACTTAAGAACCGGTTGACGGATCGTCATGATTTTTGGTATGTAGGTCGCTTACGTGATGCTTAATATAATTATGTGACAATTATGCAAATATGGATGTAATTTGCATAATTTATGGGGAAATTCTATAAATCAGCTGCATTCCATGATAGGACAATTGAAGCTTGTGACATTGGTTATTGACAACGAGAGGAGCACAGGCAGATATTTATTATGTTAATAATGACTTAATTTGCATAGTTAATGAGAAAATTTTATAATTATGTAATGATAACTGCCTGGAATTTCATACTTGTGGTATTTGAAAGTTAAGTTGAGGTGAACATCATTAAACATAATTTATTCAAATCAGGACCTCATTTGCATAATTTATTAGGAAAAACTAGAACGCATTGTTTGTTAATACAAGACTGTATTTTGGTTTAGATTATGATGATAAAATGATATAATTCATAATTCATAAAATTAGGTTCCTATTTGTTAAATCATTTGTCAGTTATAAAGATTAACATCATTTGGCGAAGGTATGAGATCGGGGAACTCTAGTTCTCAATATCATCGTGTTTACCCCTTTTACAGGATGTCAGGACGTTCAGGGCAAAACAGCCTAGAAGTGAGGCAGATAAAAAAAGTGATGGTTAGAGAATTCTGGTTTGTTTTGAGAAAAAAAGACATCACTAGACAAAGTTCTGAAGCGAGGAGCAGGGCTTTTCCCGGTCATTTTAAAACTGAAATGACGTTGTAAATCGAAGATAGTTGCACAAACCAAAGGATGTAAGAGATATTAATGTAAGTTATTTTCTCTTTTTTTTTCATAATACAAGAATACAGCCAGTAGCGCCTATTGTACTTCCTTAGACAGGCGGAGATTCAGAATGTTTAGAATACATT